AAATATCAGACCAGTAGAGGCCAGTTTTCTCTTCGTTACAGGGGAGATGATGTTTGGAATCATTTTTCACATTTGGTAACAGGCAGGCCTTCTGTGAAAGTGTTTAACATTATTTAAAACTTTACTTAATTAAAGAGTTGTGACCGTCATTTTGTTACATATTTTATTCAAATTTCCATTAATACTTTATAGATGTGTTTTTTATTTGTTTTATTTTTCTTCTGTTTGACTGTGTTCCTAAATTTATGATCAACTGACTGCATTCTTGGATTGTATTATTTGTTTCTATACTATAAAGGTGGAGGCTTTACATACTGTATTTTCCGGTGTATAAGTCACAGTTTTTTGCATAGATTTGTCAGTCCTGCGGCTTATACACCGAAGCGACTTATATGTTTTTTTTTTTCCATATTCATAACGTAATTTTTGAGTGACGCTTAAAATTTCTAAGAACTGCAACAGCGAGTCAACAACTCGCTTCACTCAGCTGGTGCAAGTGGAGGAACACTGGAGAGCTAGCGGCTTTGGCCACGATGGATGGATGGATGGATGGATGGATGGATGGAGATGGATGGATGGAGCAGGATGGATGGATGGAGATGGATGGCGCTAAACTAAACTATTTTCCTAACAGAGCACTTCGCTCTCAGACTGCAGGATTATTTGTGGTTCCTGGAGTTTCCAGAACCAGAGGAAGATCTTTCAGTTATCAGGCTCCTCTCTTGTGGAACCAATTTCCAATTTCTGTCCTTTAAGGCTGACACATTGTCCAGTTTTAAGACTGGACTTAAGACTTTCTTTATTGATAAATCCTATAGTTAGGGTTGGCTTGTTATGCTGCTAAAGGCTTAGACTACTAGAGGACAAATTGACTTTGTTTCATCAAATGAATAGTTTACATTTGAAATAATTTCTATCTTAAGATGCTCGCTTCCATTCTGGAGCTGCCATTGTGTATCTGTTCCTGTCAAACCCAGCCGGTCGAAGCAGATGGTCGCTTGTCCTGAACCTGGTTCTGCCAAAGGTTTCTTCCTCATGAGGGAGTTTTTCCTCTCCACTGTCGCCTTCATGCTTGCTCAAGATGAGAGTTCAGTGATGAAGTGAAGTCTGCTCTTCAGATAAATAATGTTATTAATTTACTTTTATATATATATGAATGTTTCTGTTCAGTGCCTTGACACCACTGTTGTTGTGACTTGGCGCTATAGAAATAAACAATTGATTTAAAAACATATGTAACTTTGTTCTATTGGTACCACGTTACATATGTATGATTTTGTATGACACACATCAAATAAAGCACACATGAAGCATTTTCTGCCACTGATACTGACCTCTATTCTTAATCTTTAAGATTTACTGAACCACAAGCTAATATTGATGTTTAATTAATCCCACTACTGTTTTTACCTCATGTATTTATTACAAATACGCCCATTATATTCACACATGGACACTTTCTGGCACAGAATAAATACCTGGAAATTGTGCTTCCTGTACCGTATATGGTGATTGATTATGACTTTAATATTTCCCAAACCAAAATACATCATTTGAGAGGAAAAATATTATTTGGATATGCGTCGCCAGCAAAGTTGCACAAGCATGATACACATAAGATTGCCCTCACTTGCTCCCCGTCTCCAGTTAGTCCTAACTCCATACACTAAAAGGAAACTTTGACTACATGTTTACTTTAGTTTCTTGCATGAACAGTGACTTTAGAACAGATGCCTCAGGGCGAGACATATCTGAGGAAACATATACAATAATTGGAGCCACACTGGGAAATACATGCGCTGTGACGTTTCTAAATATTCTCCGTCTCATTTTTGTTGTGTTGCAGCACTTTGTCCTCCTGCTTTGACAAGTGATTGAGAAGGGGATGTGGGGGTGGGGTGTGCAGGGAGGGCTGTTGCATGCATGCACAGTGGGGATCGTAAAACCGGGGAGTAATTTAAAAATAAACTGTGAATATTTGCTCGGAGCAACTTTTGCTTGTGACACACTGAGTTGTGTGCTGAGCCAATTCACTGGCACAGCATGAGTTTGTCATTCATCTTTGTCATAACATAGCAAGGGTGTCAACATCAATGTCAGTCAATGTTTAACTGTTGGTGAGATACGAACAAACAAATGATCCCGGTAATTATTCTTATCTGTCTTTACAGGCTGGAACGGTGGGGTGTATAAGAGATCTTGTAGTATTGGAAACGTTGAGTGGGCTATTCAGACATATGCATTCTACTGGGATGCATCTTTAGATCAACTTTGGCAGGTTAAAAGAAATGCAGAAGGGGTTACAGGAATAATTTTAACAAATCATCTTCAAGAACAATGGGAAACTTTTTGTGGGCTGTAAAAAAACAAACAAAAAAAAAACCTGTTGCTGCTTTAAGGTAGTAACTCACTGAGAGGACACTGCAGGTGAACAGCATTCATGAGGGAGTGTCCCGAATGTCTGGGGTACTTAGCTGGAGTCCCAGAGAATTGCAATATTTTGGCATTCATTTTTGACATGTTCAAACATTTGAAAATCACTTATTTTATTTCAAAATTGTCTTTTTTTTTTTTTAGAAGTTTGAAACCAACCTCAAAACCCAATACCCATCACTGTAATGCCACTTTAATTGGTGATATGTGACCTATCTGTGCTGCTGATTATCCATGCTGCTGATCTCATGCTGCTGTATTCATACCCATCTACTTGCCACAGACTCATGCTCAAGCTGCTGCTTGATATACCGTATTATTTACATTACAGTAGTCCCTCACTACTTCGCAGTTTGTTTTTTGCGGACTCACTCTATTGTGGTTTTTCAAAATAAGATTAGACATGACACACAATTGGCTGATTGATGGATGAGCCGCACAATCGGCGTGGGATTTTTATTTAAAATAAGCACCTGGTGCACCTCTGTTCAGCCCACACTGCAGGATAAGCTTCCTGCTGCAGCTGATCAGCTGATCTCCGTGCAGAGCGGAGAAGTGGGCGTGGCCAATAATGCTTGCAGGTGGCTGAGAGCAGCAGAGGCAGCGAGAGGGAAATCATGACATCCTGTGCTCTTATAGTACGTTTAGAGTTTAGAAACATTGTTTAGAATATTGCAAGAGTGTGGGAAGGGTTTAAAATGCCTTAATATATACAGTATATTAAAAAATACTACTTACTACTTGTACTATTATCCCAACTTCGTGTATTTTCACTTGTCATGGGGCATATTAGTGTTCGTGTATATCTTAGCCCTTATATACCGTTTCTTTTTATACTTATTTTTTGTAATTTTTAAGTGTAACTACGACCCTGAGTACACAATTTCATTCCACCTCATGTACCACATGTGATGCAAATAACAATAAAGACACTTGAACTTGAAGAGGTGTAGTTTAGCTCCTCTGTCAGAAAACACGTCCAGGTCTAAAAGCCATGATGAAAGTAAATAATAATTATTTAACAACCTGTCTAAATCGGCTCGTCTTAAAAGATTTTCAAAAACTGCCCATGCAAAACATAACGACATGACTTGCTGGTCACTTGGTCACAAACACCCACACTAAAGATTTGCCCATTTTCTCACAATACTGAGGGAAACTGGAATTGCCTTCTAGTCTCCAGCAGCTGCAGCCCAGTAAAATAACATGAGTGTGGAACCGAGTAGCCTCAAAGCAAATGTACACTGTGTGTGTCCATTATCTTTATATCCCCTTATGGACTAAAATATATGCTCTAAAATCAAACTTACGTGGAGTTCCTGTGAACGTGAGAACCAAATTCGAGTCTCCACGAGAACAAAGTCATCTATTAAAGGTTAAGACTGTGTTTTAAGGTGAAGGTTAGACTTTCAGTTATGATCATTTAAATCAGGGTAAAGGGTTAAGGAATGAAATGGGTCGACCAAGTGTCCCAGGTGGGATATAGAATCAAACATGTGCTTAGTGGTGGTTGTAATAGTGTCAAACTGCACTAATGATTGTGTTTAGTGTTCTGGCAACTTTAAGTCCTCCGATATTGTAGAATTACAGGGGGACAGAATGATGATGTGCAGGCACGGCCAGAGTAAACACATCAGAGCAGCTCACCAACGCTGGACCAAAGAGTCATTTAACTGACGTTACTGAAATTGGCTAAATACAATTATATGACACATTTTTAGCATGCTGAAGCAAATGCAAGATTCATTTTTTTTGTTCCATTCCAGTTGCAGTAACTTCATTAATAATGACTACTGTAAACATTTTACTAAAGATTAAAGACAAAAAAAAAATGAATAAACTGGAATCAAAGTGAATTTCTAAGTTCACATTTTAAATTATTTGACAAATTTAAAAAGGTCAAATCTTCAGTTCAAGTGTTATTATTCATTAAAGACATTACGAGATACGCGAAGTAAAAGTATTTTGAATAAAGGGAAACATTGGCAGACATTTTCTACTAATATTCTAATTTATGCTGCATTATGTTTCCAAGATGAAAAGTATTAATTTTTACACCTAAAACTGTAATGAGGATCAAAGTGGTGCTTTCCAAACATTTGTGTCACGACCGCTGTTTTATTTTTCACTCTAATCCTTTTGCACTTTGAAACCAATTACCCGCTTCACCTTAGCTTTACAACGTTGTCAAAAATTTACTTGACGGGTGGGGTTGCGCTAAAGGATTTTGACCCTTCACCCAGTTACCTCTTTTTGATTTTGTGTTTGGAAAACTTTGACCCACATTGCAAAGTGACGCAACTGTAAATACAAAATGATTTTCATGGCAGAACTACACAGGCATCAAAATGTATAAAACTTATCTAAAGCCAATAAAATCCGTTTATGTTTTATAATCATTTTTTAATTAATCTTTCTGGCCTCGCCTGTGTTTTAAAATAAGATTAATTGATTCCCGGCAGGATCTGACTGAAAATCTTTGCAGTATATTTGCAGTATTTATCATAAAAACCTTTAGTGCAAGTTATGGTTTAAAGTGCGTGTTTTGGGTCGACTTTTCTCTTTACCTGAATGAGACAGCAAATGCATTCGTAGACGAAGGCTGTCCAGAAAGCTCTTTCCACACAGCTCACAACTGTAGGTCTTCATTCCACTGTGCATTTTCCTGTTAACAAGAACGAAAACAAACATTTCATCATCTGCACTCCATCGGTGAGAAAGTCAGCCAGACCAGGCAAAGTTTAATGTGCATTCATGTCACTCAAATACACATTCAGTACTTTAACAGAGTGTCTTTCTTTTACTAAGTGTTGGCAGCGCACACAAAATGAATGAGGCCTTTATTTTTATTCTGTAAAGAAACGTCACACTCAATCTATCATAACATCAGAGCACAATAATAACCATTAGAGTACCAACTACCCCACATATTTTTTTTTGCACAGGTCACTGGAGCATGACTTATAGCTGTTGATGTCAAATGAAGACAGTATTAACATCCCATATCTCAAGTATTGCAAATAACGTGCTGCAAATCGAATACTTTATTTATAAAATATGCACGGCAGCTGATTGGAGTACTTAACCATTTGTGGCTTTATGAGGACGAGAAGTGAGGGCTTATTGGCAATAAATTGTCCATTTCCAAACGGTTAGTCATTAACCTGTAACACAGTTTGGGCGCACAAGGTCAGAGAAGATAAAGGGTCAATATTTGATTATGTGGAAGGGGCCTTGAAGGTTAGGTAACTAAATAACAGACATCAGAGAGTTTATCCTTACAACCACCTCTATTACAAAACCCTCAAAGACCCCACGGCTCAGTGCAAAGTATATTATTCCTGAGAGATATTTGAAAGTGCTCTAAAGCAATTAAGGTGACATGAATTGCCAAACAACTGCCACGGCGCCTTAAGCCTTCCAAAATGCTTCAAATATTTCATCTCGAGGGCGGCGTACACGCCTATAATTGTGATAATGGTTTGTCAAGATTTTGCCGTTTCCGAGTTTAATCTTCCAAATAGGTCGCCGTTCCATACGGCGAGCATCTGAAACCGAGTCAGTAATCGCACGGTGGAAATCAAAACCTCGACAGGCGAGGATGAAATTGCACATGCAAAAAGCGCATGGTTCAACACTCAGCTGAGTGGCTGCTTTTGGCAGACAAAATGAGACACTGTCAAACATTTTTAAGTCTCCACCGTCGAGTCAGGTGGCACAGAAGGATCAGCCAAGTGCATTCTCGGGGAAACAATGCCCTTGATAAGAGATTTGCTCAACTTGGGTGAGATGACAGCTTTCAATCTTTGCTACTCTCAACTAAACCTCTAAAGAGAAGGTGGTGCCACTCTCCAAAAACATGACTGATTGATGTCAGATGTTAAATGCAGACTGATTTATAGCTCTCTTTAGTGCCTCAAGCGAAGTAGGCAGAGACTGAGCCAGACTGCCAAACTTTCTGAGGCAGTGGCTGTAAGAATTAAACAACCAAGGTTAATACGCAGTTATAAGCTTAGTAGCATCCTTGAAACTGGATGAGAGAGGGTAAAAGTTAGACTTGTAAGAAAATGTTAAGAGGATGAATAAGTCATAATTAATTGGCAGCTTGAAGTTGCAGCAGACCGACAGCTGAATGTCAATCTCTGAGGAAGGAAAGGTCTTATGAAGGTCAAACGACCTAAATGAAAAGAATCAAGCCTTCTGATGGGCTTGTGACCTGTCCAGGGTGTCCCCCGCCTCTCGTACAGTGACTGCTGGACATGGACACCAGTGGCGCCTGTGACCCGGAAAGGCAGAAGTGGGTAAAGATAATAAATGGATGGATTGAAAATAATTGCACTTTAATCTCAAAGCAGAAATAAAAGCTATCTATCTAGGCATCAATAAACCCAACAATAACAAAAAACCAACAACAATAACTATTATCTATATTTAGGCGTGGTCTTTTAGTGCAAACAGCCTATTATAATGCATAAGAAACAAACACACACAAAGAAAGTGAATTATTTATTTTGGCCTCGTCTACACTTGACACGTTTTTAAAAAGACATTTAATTTTTATCTGCTTAAATTAATTTTCATCCATCTACATGATGCTAACACAAATGTTGCAATACCTCTACCATACCACTAGGGGGCGAGAAAGTCCACATTAGCAACATTTCAAAAACAGAGAAAGAACATGCATAGCTTGACTAAAGATTGTCGGAAAACAATATTTTCTTAGATACTGTTCACACTTTCCTATCAAACATTAAAGGAACTCATTGTAAAGTCACAAAGACTGGACAAAAATTAAAAAATCAAAATAAACAAAATCTGTGCCATATTTTCTTTAAATGGATGGTTAATGTGTATTGTGCGATTGCTTACCTACAGAAAAGACAGACGTGACTAAAAATAGGTCAAATTGTAAACTTAAAGGTCATATTTGTTTAACTACACAGACTACAACCAGACTGATGTAGGTCAGTCATGTGACTCATGGTGACACATGCTGTGCTGAAGATTTGGCTGAGTAGCTTGTTTACATTGACAGCATATCCACACTTGAGTATATCTGGAAAAGTACTAGAGTAAACGCCTTCAAACTGCACCATTTGATCTAGTTCAATGTATAGTTGGTATAGTTTGGGAGAGCATTTTATGTTTGCTTTCATACATTGCATTGAATACCTTTAACCGTTTCAACTCACAATTAAAGTGCGACAAAGACACAATTAAGAACAAAAGAAACGTGCCAAAGTAAAACCATTAAAAAACAGCTCTGTAGTTGTTTTAGTTTCTAGGGTAGTGAATATTAGTAAGCATTTAAAAAATAGGCTACCTTTTCATCAATTCTGCAAAACTGAAAGCAGTCTTTAAATGGTATATATATTTTTCCTTTTACCAAAAACAAACCAAAAAAGTTAAAAATGTCACTTAAAAAATATCCAGCGTAGTGTGGACAGGACACTAGATTTCCCAATAGCCTCAGAATGTGAAGGTGAAGAGTTGTGCATCCATGGATAATTGATATCATCCAGCATCACTTACACATATCGTTGGACAATAGCATTTGTCTCACTGCAACGCTGCATTTAGGTTTATTCAATCAAGCAGACAAACTGCCACTTCTCCGTAGGAATGCTTCATTCATGAACGTTACACTCCGGCAATGCTCTTGCATTTTTCCTCTGAGGGACGGCATTAAGGCAGGTATTTCCTATGTTGCAGGTAGATAAAACCTTCAGTAATTACTTCTTGTAAATGTCATCCACACAAATGACTCACCCAATTGAGCAAAGCTACAGAGCAAGATTTTCTTTAAGGGTCATACATGATGTGCTCACTTTTACACCGATAAGGAGAAAGCACACGTATGAAGCAGGCTGCAACACATACAGAGCACAAAGCCTTCCCAAAGCCTTTTGTGTCCTTTCTCAATTTGCCCATTGTGCCTCCCAGACAGAGGACAGATAAGGCATGGATGGACTTACTAAGGGCACTCAAAGTGGAACCAATGCCATGTTTTTTTTTCCATCGTAAAGGTAGAGCTGATGAGCAAAGTGTGTTTATCACTGAGCGTGTGCTACTTCTCATTGAAACAGCACATTACTTGATGTCCAACAGAATGAAAACAGCACCTGTTAAAGTAATCCGGTTTCTTGAAAAGACAGTTCGAGACCTCTAGAAATCCGCCTTCGACTTTGCTTCGACGCGACAGCTCTTATTTTCGGGAAGTGAAACTTTTAAACCCGTAAAGCGTCCTTTATGTTACAGTAGGGCACAAGACAAACAACAGGTAGTGTCTAGAAAACTTGAACAACACTGAAAAAGACTGGACACAGAAAGGTGACATGGGTTCTCAAAGTTGTGTGTATTGCAGTACTTATAAAACATTAACAATCTAAAATGTTAAATAAAATTATTTACTGATATACGTGAACCATGCTTATTTGTCCTTGTTAGAAAACGAGCCAATCTTAGTCATAAGTAAGCTATTAAAAGGTATGTCTTATATGGATTTAAATGTTTCAAAATTCCTTTATCTGGGCTTGTACGTCTGTTGGACATAATTAAGTCTTTTGACAAGGTTTAATGATTTGTAAAAGGACACTAAAAATTATCTCAGATCAGTGATTCTAGTTCAAATAAACCCCATTTTAAACAATGTTTTTATGCAATTCGCATAACCGCCCACTCTCATGTGCCTCTGAGATAGATGACGAGTGTGTGCGAGTGCGTGCGTACGTGCATGTGTGTGTAAATACATTTATATGAATGTTATGTCTGCGTTGGGAGGAATGAAGGGTGATTTGAAACAGACTGACTGCAGCCATTAAGGAAGTTCTCATAAAACTATTTAAGGCCATTTACTCGGTTAATAATTGACTAAGTCCTACAGTCGCTTTTGACAACGGCAATAAATTTAAAATTTATGTCAACAAAACATATGCTGATCACCCCGTGTGGTGAGCTCCCTCATAAAAACCAGCCCAGCCTGGCTGTTGGGCTGTTTGACTTCACGTGTGTTTTTGAAGTGTGAGCCGATTATAGGCCTCAACAGCTCGCTTCATGTAGTTCTGATTTATTTTCTCTCCCTCATATTTCTTATGGACCTGGTTGGCTATATATCATAACTAGTGCTACATTTACCGACGCCATGCCTCCCACCTGCCACTTTTTTTGTAATTTGATTGTTAAAAGGTTGAACTTAGCAGATTTACTGCACTATGAAGAAACAAATTAAAGCCAAATAGTTGCTTGAAACTCACGGGCGAAATAGCTAAACTATTTAGGAAAAGAGAAAAGCAAAACATAATAATAAAGCTTGGCGTCCCTCAGCAGTTTTGACCTTAATACTTACAGGATGCAGTGAAAAAATCATTAGCTTAGTTACTGAGCATCTATCCATTATCTTTACCGCTAAATGAAACACTTTTTACCCAATGTTGTTAATCGCTGTAATTTCTTGGCAACTTTATTTTTTTACAAAGCTGCACCGTCAGTTTTTAGTGGGATCACTTGTCTGACTTTCACCTTTCCATGTGCCCCACTGTCAGCCATCACTAGCACAGGCTGTCTTCTGCAAGTAGATGATAAAGACAGTAAGCTGCTGTTCACAGGTGAGATGCATGTGGCCTGAAACTTGGTGGAAAAAATTAAATAAACTAGAGATAGACA